GTGTCACAAGTAGCAATGATAGTTCAAGTTCACCACACTCTACTTGATCTTTAATAGCATGTTCCACACCACAGCACCCAGAGGTAAACCACATAAACTCGGTTTCATGCATGCGGCCTCGAGACAAGATTCTGAATGCTCCTTCTCATTCATCCATTCTACCATGACTTTTCTGTTGGATACCAAGAATTAAAAACCTCTTTACGTATTAAAAAATATTATATATTTTTAAAGTAATTCCCCAGCAAGTCAAGTACTATGGGTTTGTTCCATAAAGTCTGTAATAAATGGGCCTTTTGAAACAGAAGGAAATGGGAGTTGTTTCAGATAATGGCACTGAATTATACAGCCCCAAGACTCAGAAAGATACTAAATTAGGACCAGTCAGATCAAGAATTCACCTTCTCCAGAGCAGGGACACTGGTATTTCTTCTCTTGCAGAAAGAGCCATAAGCTAACCCAGAGTCATCCTTGAGAATCCAAGCAAATTCACGGTGTTCCCAAGTCTGTCCGGTCAGCACCAGGGCAGGTGCCAGGTGGTTTCTCATTTCACTCTAGCTGGAAGGCCCGGATACTGCTTTCCAAACAGTAAGGGCGGAACTGCTGGGGTTGGGAGGAAGGGTTACCAAAACCTTAGCCACACTATCTCAGCAATCTCTGCTTTTGTACTTGTCTCCCACATGCTAGGACCCGGTAAAAAAAAGACCCACAATAAATTGTTTTCTGAATATTAAATTGTTGAATTACTAACTTTGTACCTAACAGAATTATTGTTATAATTTTACAGCACAGATGAATTTCCATCTTTTGTGGGAACACAGGAAAGGCTAAAATAAGTGTGATTTATTTAGAGTAAATAGATATACTCGGTTAAATTTCTAAAATATAAAAAGCAGCCCTGGCCAGTTTGGCTCAGCGGTTAGAGCGTCGACCTGCGGTCCAGAGAGACCTGGGTTCAGTTCCCGCTAAGGGCATGTACCTCGGTTGCAGTTTGTCCCAGGCCCTGGTTGGGTCGTGTGGGTGGCAACCACTCAATGTGTCCCTTTCACATCGATGTCTCTCTCTCTCTCTCTCTCTCTCTCTCTCTCCCTCCCACTCTATCTGAACAAAAAATGAAAAAATGTCCTCAGGTGAGGATAAAAATTAAAAAAAAATAAATTAAAAAAAAAAAAGCAGCACTCCTTTAAGTACGACATATTGAAAGTTCTAGTCCATTTGACATAAGCATGAAAACATTTTTATACTTATATCAAATAGTTAATCCAAATGAAAAAATTCCAAGTAAGTTTCATAGTAATTAGAAATTTTACTTGATCATTCTGGAACAGAGAAAGAAGAATTTTTGACAAAAAGGATATCAACCTATACAGAGATCATGTCCAAAAACCAGATTATGTAATAAAAATACACACACACACACACACACATATAATTTGTCATTATCTTATTTTAAATAAAAAATTAGAACATGTTTGTCATGTTTATATTTCAACAGCCCCAGCAGAGTTATGCCTGAGATAAGTATAATGCATTTTTATCATTGTGAAAACATTTATTCCTTAAAAAAAAATACAGAGAAGTAAAGAGTATCAGGCAAGATGCAGACCAACTGCATTGCTTCAAAAATCAAACTGCAGTTTGGCTGACAAGGTAAAAGACCCTGAAATAAGCATGAGGCAGTAGCACTTACACGGCGGCTTTCTGCAGAGGCTGAGAAATGTAAAACCCATCAAAACTTCTCCCTCCACCACTGCACATCACTCCGGCGGGTGTTCCAGAGACAGAGCACATTTGCCTTCAGAACCAGCTGGAAAACTCCCCTGGTATGTTTTGAATTTTGTCTCCCCACCCCCCAAAGAATATGTTCGAGTCCCAACCCATGGTACTTATCAATGTGACCTTATTTAGAAATAGGTATTGGCACATACAATCAAGTTAAGATGAAGTTATTGGGGTGAGTCTTAATCCAATGGCCGGTGTCCTTAAAAGATGAGGAAAATTGGGGCACAGAGACACAGACCGGGAAGGTGGCATGTGAAGATAAGGACGGAGATTAGTTATGCTTCCACAAACCAAGGAATGCCTGAGGCCACCAGAAGCTGGAAGAGTCTGGGGACCATAATCCCCAGAGGTTCTGGAGGGGCATGGTCCTGCCTATACCGTCCTTTCAGAGTTCCAGGCTCCAAAACTACAAGAGAATAAATTTCTGTTCTAAGCCACCCAGTTTGTGGTACTTTGTTATGACAGCCCCGTAACACATTCCCTTAGTTATTACGTTGTAGAGCCGTAAAGGAGACAAGAAGACGGGGTGCCAAGCTAATACAATTTTAGGCTCACTGGGGCCATTAATATCCCTTTAAAGATAAACACTCAGAAATTTTTACAGAGGTTCTTGCTTCTTGGGTATCTGGTGTCTGATAAGGGCAGGTCTCTTGCCCAAACCCCACTGAGAAAAACACCCCACTCTCTGGAGACGTGCTCCTATCCCCTAGTGGGAAGGACGATGTTAACATAACATATACGGAGTTTGATAAAGTAATTAAAGGAAGACAGATCTTAGACTGGAGAACTGCATGTCGTTGGTCAACATATCACAGAGATTAAAACTTGAAAGGTAGATAACTTGACCTGGCGCTACTCACAGTTCTAGGTAAGAATACATTGTCTTCCTCTAGCTATAATCCTCTGGTAGGATTAAATGCTTCACCCAAAGACTCAAGCTGACTTATATTCCCGGGCAAGATGGGAAAGCATGCATTGAAAACGGAGGCCTCCACCGCGGACCAGGGAGTCCCGGGTTCGGTTACCGCTGGCGGCACGTACCTCCTCTGCAGTTTGTTCCCTGGCCCCGGCTGGGGTCGTGTGGGTGGCAACCAATCGATGCGTCTCTCTCACATCGATGTTTTTCTCTCTCTCTTCCCCCCTCTCTCCCTCCCACTCTCTCTGAAGATAGGTGCAAAAATGTTCTCAGGTGAGAATTAAAAAAAAAAAAGAAAATGGAGGCTTCCAGTACAGCCAGGAATCTGGTAGGTTTGTGAGTTCAAATAAGTGGTCATGTCAGCTTTCAGAGTGTTAGATGCACCAGCATAAAAGTAATTGTGAAATTATTAATGTATTCTAATAAAACATAAAGTGCACTCTCTGATATTCAGGAGAAAAGATGTGCTCATTCAAAATCTTAAACCCCACAACGTCGCAGAAAGAATCTTTTCAAACCAAAAATGTCATTTGTAAGCCTTGACAAAGATTATAATTTAGATCAGAAACTGACAAAATATATTCTCCAAAAGAAGTTGAAATTGAGTTATGTAGAAAAACTGAAACTCCAGGATACTTTAGACAAGTTAAGAAAATTCTCACACATTTCAATACAACTGCCACCATCTACTAAATATAGAAAATTCTTGCAGTTTCATAAGTATAGATTATTCAGAAATATAATTTTTCTTCTGTGATTTAATGAACCTTGCTGGGCAAAGCTGCCATCTCTAATTCAGGTTAATTTGGAGAAACCTGCCTTTTCCAGATGGCATGGAGAGCAGACAGTTAATAGGAGACTGAACTCAAAGTCACATGATTTTTATCTTAATGTGAAGTGCAAGAACTGCTAGCCTCTGAGCTCGCTTTGATCCATTTCCTAAACCGGCATTCTACTCTGGAATTCTGCACACTACTCAAAAATGACATGTTTCTCTGTCAAAAAACTACAGTGTAACCCTGAACATCTGCAACAGAGTCTGCTGCAAACCTGGCTGAACCACCTTCCCCATGGTGGACGAAATATAAAATAACAGCATGTCCCAGGTCTTCACCGCATCAAACACATGGCCAATTTCGTGCCCCAAAGCCTACCTGTCTTCCAGATTCGTTTAAGAAACCCTGCCTACATCTCCTTGGATATTCCGCACCTCCAGCCAGGAGCTATTCACCTGCCAAAATGCTGATTAATGAAATGGCCTTTCGTCATATGTCCAGGCTTCCTGTTTGTGCAGCTGTGCTCCAAGCATCTTTTTCATGCTCAAAGCCAAAGTCTTGGAAAGTATAATTTGGCATGAATTTCTCAGACTTAACAGGTGAGGCAACTGTCTATTTCCAAATAGTGAAACATCCTCACCCAGACATGTTATGCATAAAAGAGAATAACCCAACATGAACAATCCATACTAAAGCTTCCATCCAAGAAAATCGGGTAGAGAAACTCAGGTTTTCCATGTAAACCAGTAATCTCAATACAACTGCATACTGAACTCATGTAAAGCACTCTTTTAAAACGCAGATGCCTGCCCTGGCCAGTTTTGCTCAGTGGTTAGAGCGTCAGCCCGCAGACCAATGAGTCACAGGTTCAATTCCAGTCAAGGGCATGTACCTCGGTTGCGGTTCGTCCCCAGCCCTGGTCAGGTCATGCAGGAGGCAACCAGTCAGTGTGGCTCTATCACATCGATGTTTCTCTCTGTCTCTTTCCCTTTCTCCCTCCCTCCCACTCATAATAAATGGAAAAATGTCCTCAGATGAGGAATAAAAAAATAAAATAAAAAATAAAATGTGAGTGCCAGATCCCGTCCCACACCAACCAAATCAGAATCACTGGGAGAAGGATTCAGCATTAGGCTTTTTTCAAAGCTCCCAAGATGATTCTAATGTTCAAGCAATTGAGAAATGCTTGCTCTCTCTGGCACAAAAGTAGCCACAAACACAACATAAGTGAACATGTGTGACTGTGTTCCAATACAGCTTTCTTTAGGAATGCTGAAATTTGAATTTTATATAATTTTTCCATGTCACAAAATATTATTCTTCTTTCGATTTTCTTTTCAGTCATTTAAACAATGACTGACCATTCTCAGCTTGCAGGCCACACAAGACAGATGGCAGGCCAGATTTGGCCAGCCCCTGACCTACACTGAAGATTGAATCCACTCCTTAATCTTTTCTCAAAACAGCTTTTGCTCAGTGACTCATTCAATCCATCCTAGGAAAGATTCCCTTCAAAGCACGGATACCTTCAGATTCAAGTTGGTCCAGGCCATATGAGGCAGCTGTGTTTACACGGCTAATGGATGGAGCAAGGGTTCTCACAGAGGATGCCTCAGAATCAGAAAGCGCTGGGGAAATGCTGGGTGCCTCCTCCGTTATTCCAGGGGGTGTCACTGGAGAGCCCAAAACTGGTGTGAATAACTCCTTTGGCCCTGTGACTGTGTCCATTAGGTCTGCCAAACACAAGAGACAGGACTTGACCCAAAGATGATCATTTTGGGAAATGTACACATAAGCTTTTATTTTACAAGCAAGGAGTGATTTATGACACTTAGACCAGCTCCCCCTTCCTCCCATGTTGCATCAGTCCACCTACCCAAGGCAAACACTTTATCTTGCAGGGAAATATATTGTCTCATATCAGCACTTTTTTTTTTATTATTTCAATCCCCCCTCCCCCATGTATTCTACTGATAATATTTTGGATTAAATTTATTATCAAAAATAGAAAATTTAACAAAAATGTATTAAATGTATGCCAAAGACTACTTTAAAATATAAAGTAAATAGTAAGAGTAAGAGTAGATCTGTGTCTGGAATATGCTCAAGTTCAAAGCAGCCAAAGTTAGCCCCAGGTCTTCCCAAACCTCAAAACTCTAGGACAGAAGTATTTTGCAAGCCTGGTTGGTCATCAGAATCATGTCAATATCATGATTTCCACATATCCCAACTGACTGAATTGGACTCTCCTTAATGGTGAAGCCTGAGAAAATATTTTTAAAAGCTCCCAGATATAGATTCACAAAGCCTCATATATATATATTGCTATTGGGAGCATCAATTGGTGCAATCACTTTGGAAAACAGTGAGGCATTGCCTCCTAAAGTCAAACATTCGTACATTTTATGACCCAGCAATTCCTGTCCTAGGTATAGACCCAGAAGAAGCTCCTGCACCTGCACGGTGGAGAACGCGAGAAAGAAGACTCATGGCAGCAGTGTTCGCAATAGCCAGACCTGGAAATCACCCACATGCAAATCACTAGGAGGGACTGGAGGAAGACTGAATGAATAAACTGTGATATGTTTTCATGATGGAGTATTAAAAGCAGTCAAAGCAAAAGAGGTAGAGTAAGTAAATCTTAGCCATAGAATATTAAGTTAAAAAAAAAAAAGTAAGTGCCAAAAGGATTATCTACAGGACAATACTGTTTTTATAAAGTTAAAAAACAACTAAAAGTTTTAAATGTATAATTTTAGGAGTCAATATTGACCCAATAAAATGAAAAGAAAAGGAAGTCAAGGAAATGATGAACCCCAGATTTGGGATGACGTTAACAGAGGAGGAAGGGTTGAGATAGGAAGGATCATGGGGCTACTTGTAGGTTACTGACAGGCCCTTGGGGTTTTTGGGGGGGGCAGGATTAGAAGGTATTTACTACATTGTTAAAAACAACTCAGTTAATAAATAAAAGTGGGCATTACTTAGACCAATGATGAGACAGACACATGAGGTCAAAATATAGTAATTTTGTAATTATTAAAAATTTCAAATATTTTTAATTACTGACTATAATGTTTTGTCATTCTGACAATCACCCAGATTTGAAAACTTCACTATCTATAAGATATCAGAGCATTTGAGAGCTTCCTATACAGACAACAGTTGGTATATTAAAATAACCTATAAGACAGATAGGCATTATTTAGAGATGAACAAACCAAGGCTTGGAGTCATTGAGGAACTTACTTGAGGCCACAGCAGTGGTGAGGGCCAAAGCGGGGATTCTAGCCCCTATTCTTGCTTTCTTCTCCCCGCCCCCGGGCTCCTAGCAGCCGGAGTTCTCAAAACAGGAGAAAGGTCTCAGGAGGTGAGGTCTGGCCTCCTCCAGCCCCTGAGGTGATCCACCAGGTGGTTTTTCTTAGTAAGTAAACCCTTGTTCTTTGAGGCTCCGTGACTTCTGTCCAAATAAGAGTTCGCCTCCCTTTACTGTCTACTCTCTGGGCGAAGTGTGTGTGTACCCTGGTCACAAGGCCGCCTGCCTCCATCATTCCATTGCTTATCCGTTCACAGAAAAGATCCACCCCCATAACACGGAGTCCAATCCCTCCCCCCTTACAAACCTTCCACAGTGGGAGTGACTTCGAAAGACAGAGGCACAGCTGTCGTGGAGACTGGAGTGGCCAGGGGCTCCTGTCTTCTCGACAGCTGAGTGGCACCGGAGGCCGACGTGGCCGCGGGGGGCTCTTTTCCTTCCTCCGCCTCGCCATTCGCTCTGCTCACTGGGAGGGGAGAAACCTGCAGCTCCGGGGTCACCAGTGATACAGTGGCTTCTGCCTCTGGAGCAGCTGTCCTCATCTCTTGACTGATGGTGTCTTAAAAGAGAAGAACAACATTTTAAAATTGATCAAATTCTTATACTTTAAAAAGTCGCTATGTAATCGATAAATTGGGGGGGGGGGAATCAGATATTTCAGGGAATGGGAAGGCAAAGGAGTCACTCAGGAACAAAATGCCAGTAAATGAATGTTCTCAGGGTTGCTGCTTTCAGGAGTAGTGAGTCCATCTAAGACACGGATAAAGAAGTTAATGTGAAAAAATAAACACATAAAAATAAAGTTAAAACAAAATAGGAAGATCAACGGCTGAGCTCCCTTTTAGGAATATCAACATAATCCATTTGTTGAGAAACAAATTATACAAAACTAAGTTACACGCAAAAAATTCTCAGAAGCATGTGTATATATTAATTTTCACATTGGCATTTTTGAAAGTTAGCATTATGAATTTAAGGGATAATAATTCCAATAACTAATGTTTACTGAGTTTTCATTATAGGCCAAACACACAAAAAGCTAAGTGCATGGTGGACATTGTCTTATTTTATCCTCCCACATGTATAACCAGAAGTAAGTATTAATATTAGTCCATGAAAGCCGTATATCACAGTGATCAAGAATGCAGGTTCAAGAGCCAATTTGCCTGAGTCTGAATTCTGACTCAGCCACCTACTAGCTGTGCGACTTTGAACAAATTACTTAACATCTCTGGGACTTGAGTTTCATTAGCTAGAAAATGGAAAGAATAGTATCTATCTCACAGAGTTGTTACAAAGATTAAATTATATAACACATGCAAAACGCTTGGAACATGCCTGGTACTTGGTAAGTATTTAATAAATATCAGCTACTATTACCTGTTTTACAAGCAACTTCAGTTTAAAGAAGCTAAGGAACCTGCCAAAGTTTACACAGTCGGTGCTCTTAACCAATGTGCTAACTATGACTGTCAATAGAGGAATGGATAAAGAGATTGTGATATTTATATTCCATTGTATAGCACTGAAAATATATCACACATTACACAATGGAATATTCTTCAGCCATGAGAAAGAACATCTTGCCATTGCCCAAGGAACAATCTGTAGATCTGCAGTTGCTTTTAGATCATAAAAGAGAATGAACAGACCTATGGGATATAAGTATCTATCTGAGGTCCCTTTCTTTACATTCTAATCCCTGTAAATAAATTATTAAAGATTATTTATAAGGGTCAATATTTGCCTCCTTCTTAGAGAGAAACTAAGCAGCAAATTTTAAATACTGAGCCACTATTAAAATTTAATTTCTAGAAGACCTGGTTATCTCTCTTTTTAAAATACTAATTCTAGATACATAGTATATTAGCAAGTCCGGTAGGTCACACAGTGAGAAAATAGCATTCTAGGGATAGCTGGAAGAGTTTCCTCTAGGTTTTTATTAATGACATCATATTTCCAATTACTTAAAAATGTTTCACTGGAAACAATTTATTTGCTTTAAAATAGTGTTTGTAGGTTTTTCTATATAAACAGTTCCTTTTCCTGGTCCCCATTCAGTTTGGACTATTTTTTCTTTTGAATTGAAGAGACTTTTACATTTGATGGACTGATATACCTGGTTAGAGGACAATATGAGTTACAGTGAGATGCTTACACAGGCTTCACGTTTGCACTTTGTGCCATTGTTTAAGTTTTGCTTTCTTTTTTCTTTCTCCAACGAGATTGCAAATCTCTTGAGAGCCAGGATTCATTGCCCTTTTCTTGCACCTAGGACAATGCTTCACCATAAAAAAATAATAATGTATAGTTTTATCATTTTAAGCTGTAAGCATTCTTTATGTTGCCCTCATTTTTGAAAGCATAATGAACACTTTTGAGAACAAATATAAAAAATAAATGTACAGTCTATGGCCATAGTTTCATGAAATAGCAAGAAATATCAAAATGACATAGTACTCTGGATAAGTGACTGCTGTTAGAGAAAAAAGAGTGAAACCGAGAAATAGTGATAGGAATTTAAAAAGTAACATCCAGCCCTGACCGGTTTGGCTCAGCGGTTAGAGAGTCAGCCTTTGGACCCAAGGGTCTCGGGTTCACTTCCCGGTCAAGTACCCTGGGCAGGGTCATGTGGGAGGCAACCAATCGATGTGGACACATTGTTTCTCTCTGTCTCTCTCCCTCCCTTCCTTCCCCTCTATCTAAAAAAAAAAAAAAAAAAAAAAATCAATGGAAAGGTATTCTCAGGCAAAAAATACATAAAAATGAAAAAAATAACATCCAAAATTTCTCTAACAAGCAAAATAGACAGAGTCACAGATAGAGAGCTATGTGGGGCGGGGGGGGGGGGTGGGGTGGGGGCTAGGTATGGGGTTGGTGATTATGGGGGGAGGGATTGAGGAGAGGGGGTAGAAGAGTGTATAGGGAGATAAATGGTGATGGAAAATATAAAATAACATAAGAAGTGAAAAAATATTCTCCACATTTCTCATTCTTTCTACTTCCTGTAAAGATCAAATATAATAATAATTATAGATTACTTTTAAAACTTGTCCACTGAACCAGCTGAAGAACAAGCTGAATCAGAACAATCTCAAGACACTCACCTGTTCATAATATCCCAAACACCAAGGAATCATTGCATATCCTGAAGACGATAATGTCCTAAGTAGTAAATGATTGGCATTTGAGTAGCTTATTTTTGAAAAATACTTATAACCACCAGAAAATGGATTGAAAGCTTTTTGGCTATTCCCTAAGTACTATCGTCAAAAATCTCAATTTTTCACATTTTTTATTACTCTATGGGACAAAGAAATTAAAGCGAAAGGAATTATTTGACTGTTCCTCTCTCTACGAAGAACATTTAGAAGCTGTTTGATTAATCTGTACAATACAGGCAGTCAAATAGGATAACTCCAGACTAAAAGGTTCTCTTTCCTCCTTCCTCATCCACTGAACTGTATAGGCACCAGATATGGCGCTATGTTCTGGAAATAAAAAGAAAGTGCCTATTAACTGAGGCAATTACAATTTAGTAAGGAGCATATTCAATGATCAAAATAATAATCTGACAATTACCAGACTCATTTTACTTTTTAGGCTGTATTGATAGAAGGCAGTGTAAGTCTAGTACATCAGAATCATGGATTCAATTCTGCAATGAATGGCCCGGAACTATCTGACTTAATGCTCCAGGAATATCTTAGTGCTACAGAGAATTGAAGTAAACTTCTTGTTCTGTCATATCTGAAACCTTCACGGTCGTGTGATCCCAACTCTCTTCGTGGAACTTAAAAACCAACTTACAAAACATTTTCTGGAAGCTTCAATGAAAACTTACATTATACTAGGTCTTTTAGTCTTAAAAAAATGAATTGGACATGTAAAATTCAATCTTTTATCATTTTAATCCCATCCCTATAACACTTTTTATAACATATTACTAATTTGATGTTTTCCATTATCTAACCAACCACACATAATAAAAGAAAAATATTATCCATCAGCAGCAAATGTAAGGCTGGTCAGCTCACAACATTCCTGATGTAAAGGCCTAGAGAGTGCAAAGTGCAGAACCATGACAGCAGAGAAGACTCGTCTGTGTTAGTCCCCACTCCCCCCGCCCCCCTGCCCCAGTTCTAGATGAACTTCCTTTTGGAAAAACAAAGTCAAAAAACTTATATGGTTAATAGTATAAGATAAATATTTACCTAAAATTTTTTGGTAAAAAATATCAGAGATAGGAGTATTTTTACACCAATGTGTAAGTTAGCAACCTACCTTGTTTATTATACCACTTAAACATATAGCTAATGCTTTCACATTTTCCTATATATTGACACATTTTCATAATAAAATGTTTGAAAAATATTCAGTCCATACAGAGTTTCTCAGCACTGTTGACATTGTGGCTTAGATAAATCTTTGTTGTTAGGGGCTGTCCTGTGCATTGTAGGATGTGTAGCAGCACCCTCAGCCTCTGCCCACTGGGTGCCAGTAGTCAGTAGCACTCCTCTGTTGTGACAATCAAAAATATCTCCAAACATTGCCAAATGATGGGGGGGGGGGGTACAAATCATTCCCAGTTAAATCCCACTGGTCTATATGCAGGCATTATATTGGGGTGTCATTTATATATAAAATATATTTGTATTTGTTTACTTTTACTTTTCATTAGATAAGTTATTTTTTTGCCCTGGCAGTTTGGCTCAGTGATTAGAGTGTCAGCCCGCGGAACAAAGAAACCCAGGTTTGATTCCAGCCAAGGGCACGTACCTCAGTTGCTGTTTGTCCCCAGCCCCAGTGGGTTTGTGTGGGTGGCAACCAGTCAATGTCTTTCTCACATAGATGTTTCTCTCTCTCTCTCTCTCTCTCTCTCTCTCTCTCTCTCTCTCTCTCTCTCTCTCTGCCTCCCACTCTGTCTGAAGATAAATGTAAAAATATTCTCGGGTGAGGATTTAAAAAAAAAAAACTTAGAGAACTTTTTTTTTAACAGAGATCCAAAGTAATTTTAATGCAAATAACAAAACAAGTTAGTCTGTCTCCATTTATAATTTCTCAATGAAAGAATTACAGTGCTTTATAAAAATGCCCTAAAATGTGCAAAATACAGTTATTTCTAATACAGTTGTTATCAGTAATATAATTGGTTCTAAAGTTTGCTTCCTGGACATCTCAGCTAATTTTCTTTGCTGTTGTTCTTGGATAACTAATGATAAGTACTGAGTGAGGGCTGATTCTGCCTAAGGTAAGAAGATTAGATACTTTATCCCTCACACCACCACCTCTTTCCCATCTCCCCAGTGAATGTCACACCTCAGGGGGAAGGCAGCTCTCATGTTTCACAAAACCTTGGCATCACAGATGGGTGTGGGCACTGAATGCTACACAGTTGTGGCAACCAGCCAGGAAAATCCATGGGATTGTTGCAGATTCTCACGTATCCCTGAGGTTTCAGGGAAGAAAATTCATGCGTTGCTTGGGAATTAGGCTTCCCAGATGTCTGGTTCTGAGGGTTGTTTGTTTCCAAGGTGGCCACCAGGAAACTACAGAAAATCTACCTGGGTAGAAAGCTTGGGGCACTGTAGAGCCACCTTCTTCCAGAGGCTCAGATAGCATCCTGCACGTCGCAGGGTGGGACCCACACCCCCACCCACCACATGCCTGGTGAGTTTTCCATCAAGGCAGGCGGTGGCATGGTTAAGTTATTTTTAAATCACCACTTTTAAAAAATAAAACAACACCTAAAACGTGTACAAAGTTATATGTCAATTATATTTCAATTTTAAAAAATAATAAAACCAAATGAAAGCGTTCCAAATTAAACAAAGCTTGGATTTGTTTCTTTTACCTTTAAGTGTATTTCTCAGGGGTTGATGAGCCTCAGACTCATATTCTGAGATGGGAACAGTGGTCTCTAAGGAAAACATGGCATTATTTTCCTTAGTGGATTCCACGGAGTCTGCAGTATCTTGCAACATGTTTACAATAGAGACTTCCATATCCTCCGTCAGACTTGTAGGAGTGAAGGAAATCTGATCGGTGAAGGCAGATGATCGCCCATCCCCACGTGCTATTAGCAGGGCTGTCTCCGTGTGTGTTTCCCCTTCAGGCAGCTCCAGGCCCATATGTGCAGCCTCTGTCAACAAAGGTCCGTCCCCGTCCATACCTTCCACACTGCTATCGGTTACTTGGGCTGTCGCAGATGTTTCCATTCTCATCTGAGTCTCTGTATTGTCCCCAAGCTCTGGGGTCTTTATCTGATTTACACTCTCTAATTTGGTGTCATCCCACTCATCGCTTACAACAGACGCATCTGGACCGGCTGTGCTGATGCTCGCTGTGACTTGTGGCACTCCCATCAGGCTGTCAGTCTCTGGCTCAGCATCCAGGCCGTCCACCGAGGTTGCAAGCCCATGCTTGGGGGCCGTCGCCTGGGTATTGTCCGCCGTCATCTGCAAAGGCTTCTCCCTACCAGACACGAGGCTTCCAGGCTCGGTGCCCACTATGGGCTCAACAGCAGGAAAGGAAGTCGTCCTACGATCTGTGTCTGCTTCAAATTCCTCAGTCCTTGGATCGGTGGTTAGTATTTTGTTAGCATCCACATAGGATGAAGGCGAATGTCCCAGACTAACGCCTCCTTGACTTTCAGTTGTGAACAACTCATTATCCACATACTTTAGAAAACCTTGTGTGGTTTCTGTGGTCCCGTCCACAATGGGCTGAGTGTTGGTACTACTAAAGGGTTCCCCCTCATCAATATTCCAAGAAGCAGCTGCTGTGATAGGGTTGGTCACCATGGCCTTGGAAAGCAGGCTTTCAGGAGACTGTCTGTCTGGGTGGCTGGAACCAAACATGTCATCCCCCGCTCGGCCCACTGGCTCAGTCGCAGTGTCAAGGCCGGGGCTATTAGGCTGCATGAGCCCAGCTCCCATAGAATGAGTTTCTTTGTTAATAGGAAATACTTTATTTAATGGCATTGCTGAGGGTCCCGCTAACACTCCCATTGGATCTTCAGAGACCACCGGTTGGGGCGTGTCCTTTGAAGTAATGGAGTTATTTTCTAGGTAATCCATGCTTATGCTCTCGGGCTGCCCTGTTGTCTCCTGAACATGTGCGATCTCCCTTCTCTCCATTTGGGGGAAGGCCAAGCACTGTGTGGCACAGTCAAGAAGCAGAAGGCTACAGAGCGCCAGGCACATGTGTAATACAACTGGTCTTCTCATAGTGGAAGAGAAACGTGCACATAAAATGGCCGCGTGGACACCTGCAGTGATTGAGTCCTGCAGAGAAACAAAGCACATCAAACTGTCATATAGAGATATTTTGTAAGTCAGCCCCTTTGAATTAAACCATAAGTAAAATCATCTCCTTGACTTCATGCTCAGAGGTGGTACGAAAGAGAGAACTGTTCCATTTCTTTGTACCTTTGAGACGTGGATAACCCAGTTCATTTCTCCCTGCTGAATTCTGCATGATTTCACTTGATGCTCTCTAGAAAAAGGTACACATAGTTCAACAACTCAGTTCATTGTTTCCTAAATAGTTACTTGAAGTAAACTACCCTTGAAGTCACATTTGCAATATTCTCCCCAAATTCCCCTATTAATCATGTAGTCAAATGACTGCAGAAAAGGTGACTGCAGAAATGTCCGGGACATAGAAAGTAAATCTTACATTTACTTACATTACATTCAAAGAACCTTTTAGGTACATTTTATTTTGTGTTGTTGTTGTTAATCCTCACCTGAGGACATGTTTTTCCACTGATTTTTAGAGAGAGTGAAGGGGGTGGGGGGGGAGAAACATCCATGTGAGAGAGACACATCGACTGGTTGCCTCCTGTATGCACTCCAAACAGGGCTGGGGATCAAACCTGCAACCCAGGTATATATCCTTGACCAAGAAGCAAACCCGAGACCCTTTGGTATGTGGGATGACGACCTAACTACTGAACCACAATGACCATGTATTTTAAAATGTGTTAAATGTCATCACAAAATACTGGATACCAGCAACATTCAGGAGTTTAAAAATATATATAAATGATTTTCAATTAAATTGTCTTTAAAATGCTTAAATTATTTATTTTCTCTATAACAACTATAAAAATTACGAGCAAAACTTTCATGTTTAAAATGTAGGAATTAGAAAAAGTAGGAGAGTTCATGTAAGTGTATTTATTAAAAGAAATATTTTAAGAGAACCAAAAAACATTTTAAATTAACAATCTTTACTGAAAACACACTATTGTAATATTAAGATTCATTGTATTTTTTTTTAAACTACTCACACTCTCATCACAACTAAAATTATATCAAAATAAATCATTTCTCCCCAAACTTAAGAGTTTCAGGGTTGTTGTTTTTTTATCTATTTGGCTGAGTAGGGCCTTTTCTTTCCCATTGTCAGACATTTCTCAGGTGCTGCAAGTTTTCTAGAAAATTAAACCTCGAAATAAAAATTCTAAAATAAAAAATGTATCTTTATAAAAGTTTACCTTTTCTTTCTTTCATGTGTAATCATTAAATTATCCAGACTAAGTATGTGATATGCACACATAAAATATAAAATTTTACATTTTCATAAGGCATTTTCCCCTTCAGGCGTTCAAAGCTTTCACACCGTTATCCTATCTAGTCTTGCAGATCTTTTTGAGACAGAGAAAAGGTCAAGTCCTTAGTCCTAGATGGCTGCTGAGAAAAAGAAGGCTGAATTTTTCTGCTTGAGGAAAGGGGAGCCCATGGATTCAGAGCTGAGGTGTCGTGCCCAGCTCCCAGCGTCACATGAACGAATCGTCTTAAAAGCAGATCCTCCAGCCCCAGTCAAGCTTTCAAATGACTGTGACCCCTGACACCTTGACTACAACTTCTTAAGAGACCTTCAGCCAGAACCACTCGGTTAAGCTATTCCCAAATTCCTATTGCACAGAAATGGGATGAAATAATAAACATTTACTGCCACCAAGTTTGGAAGCAATTTGTTACACGAAAAGCTTGACTCCACAGTACTCTGGGAGAATACAGAAATGGGCTTGTGGCATGAGGTGCCATGGTGCCAAGTGCAGAAAAGCAACTGCATGTCAGGGATCATACATTTAGCAGCAGCAGAACATCAAAGCCAGAGGTGAGCAGGAGAAATGTAAGCCACCGCTCACCCCCTGCCAAGAATCCTCAGAGACAGTGAGAGAGATGTAGGATCAAGGGTTGAACCAGTGTCATTTAAACAGTAAGTTACATACAGGTAGCTAGCATTGTTTCAAAAGGAGAAAATACAGGAAAGATATTTGACAAAGAGGAAATGGCATGGGCCCAGACATGTCAACATTCCGGGCATTAGTTATCATTTTAGATGAGCCATAAAGCATCCCAGTTCATAGCCAGGTAGCAGATTTGGTAACAGCAGTTGGCCTGCTGCCTCTATTTTCTTTCCCTAAAACAAAAATATATGAGAGCTGTAAAGCATGAGTGCTCACAGTTGATGACATTACACCTTCAGATTTCTGGGCAGACAAATTGAACTATGAAACCCTACATAGTGGAAGATATGTAAAAGCTACAGAACTCTGGTGCATTTCTGATCTGCTCAGACAGCTGCCTTTCCTGAACAAATATTTTTCTAATTCAGTGAAATCTTACTAAACATCCCCGAAGATAGAGGGTGTTTAAAAGCTTAGCCTACGAGATCCCACACTTCTGGATAAAAACCTGGGGTGGGGGGTGGGGCACAAAACCGGCCAGCGTGGTGGCAAGGAAGTTCAGAGGGTCATGGACTGGCCTCAGAAAAATGATTCCTCAATCCTAGCCTTACTGTGTTAAAACTTGCTATGTGATGCTAGCCAATTCCGTTTCTCCTGTGACAAAATGAGGAGTTAAAATAACCTTTGAAATCCCTTCTGCTTCCATAATTCCATTTTCATATTTTATATGACATAAGATAAAAATACAATATTTTCATATCTCACCATTTTGCCATCAAACAGGCAAGGCACCCAAATGATTGAATAAATGCTTCACATTTTGTTTAATATGTTCTGGAACCATGTGGACCAAGAGGAGAATTTCATGACCAAATCAGATCAGGGTGGAGGGGTGCAGGCAAACCTAAAAGATTTACTATAACCTCAATTGCCTTTCCAAAACAGAGCTTTCCTATAAGGTTTTATTTTCACCTAGACCTTGAGCTTCAGAATATTTGTGTGAAAGGAATTCTGTCATGGCTCTAAAAGACTTTCCTTCTGTAATTAAGTGTTGGCCACCTGCTTTTCTAAATCCAATTACTGCAGAAAAAGTGGGGGTGAACTGCTAGCCTAGCCTATGTCTGTGGATTGCAGCCATATGCTCCTTCTCTCCACCATTCAAAACGACGTCTGGACTTTAAAAGAAGCAGAAAAGACAGCCTGTAGAAATGGCAGCAGGGGACATGTCTGCAACTCAGATAAATTGGTAGATGACCTTCAAGTTCCTGGTCTTTCTCCCTCTTTCAAAGCACAGTACAGGTTCCCAGAGCCACTCTCATGAGCTTAGTGTCCCCCATGGGGAGTTGCATAACATTAGAGAATAAATAAGAAAAGACTGACCACTGTCAATTCAATTACAGCATTTCTAAACCTATATAACCATCTGCAACCATATTTTGAAGGCCTTTCCTTTTTGCCTTGACATTGTATCATCCTCTCCCTGGCAAGTGCCTGGCACAGAGGAAGTGCTCAGTAAATACTGGCTGAACAAACAGAGCTGCTTTGCTGGGGGAGGAAGAGGGAGGGGACATTTCATTGCATATTAGAATTCTGTGTCTCAATAATATTAAACTCAATCATAAGAATATTTAATAAACAAACAAAAGAAGATTTCTCTAACTTTTCCTTCACATGGTGACTTTGGATGCTGCTTTCCCTTCAGTATATCAGCAAATTAATTCAAATAAATAAACTCTAGCTGATAGTGGATATTAGCTTCTAATAGCTTAAAAAGCATCCCTTCCAGAGCAAGTCAGTAGCACTTTGTCTATCATTCGCTATCAGGGTATCCTAATGGCTCAGCAGTCCTCTGAACAATTTACTGAATTCCTGCCACCAGCAGGCAGATAAGCCGTCCTGGCAAGTATTATCTTTGACAATCTTAAATGGATACAATCCAGAGTTCGTTTCTTTGTCAAGTCTAGGCGTATTCAAGTTTAAAAGACAAATGAAAGACGACATAAAAAATAAACAAATTAAATAAAGCCTTAGCCATCTTGTTAGACTTAATGAGCCGGGGTTTTTTTAAACACCTGGTCGCTATTTTGCCAATTAAAATTTATACTTCTATTGTTCAGCGTATTACCCAAACGTACACACAAAAGGGGCCCAGCATGTTAAAACATTCTCAGCAGTGACAAAGCTGCTTTTTTCAAATACTTGGGTTGCAGGTATAATATGTAAGAAACATAAGCATTACTCTAAGAGTGCTCAAGACACAGGAAGGCTGTGGAGTTTGCCGCCGCCCCACCCCCATCCCCGCCAAAAAAAACACACACAAAAAACTGGTGATAATCTGCCTGACATTTTTCTTTTCTTAGGATAAACACAAATACCATAAATAGCTGGTGAGATTAGGAAGAAAGCTGCCTAATCTCAGATTGTCATTGTCTATTGGAAGTTACTTGGATGTCCCCTAAAACACACCTTCTTCATCTACACTTTGGTGTCATCTTGAACTCTTTTCTCCTTTACATTTTAGATTCACAACTCCTATGGATCCCTTCCTCATAATATCTCTTGGAATTGTCCCTTCTTGTCACCTCACTGAACTGTTATTATTGTAATTGCCTCTTAATTGATGATTATTTTCAGACTCTTTCCTCTCCAATCCATTTTATACAATCCAGATGGTTTATTCTTAAGAATAAAAATGACAATAATCAATTAAAAATGACTATCACTGGGGATGCTATGTGTCAAGTGTTGTAAGTACCTTAGGTAAATTGTCTCATTTGATTCTAACAGTAACCTAATAAGATATGTACAACCAGTATCCCCATTTCTTTGTTAGATGAGAAAACTACAGGCTGAAAGAGAACTAACTTGCCCATGTGATTGTGTCTGTTTTTGAATGTGTGACTTCTGTCAGACTTCAAGTTCCCTGACTTTGCCACTACAACTCTCTGCTTTCCCAAAACACATTAACTTATTGTGCCCAAACATACAATTGCCAGACTCCGTATCTGTAATGCGACCCCACAGCACTAGTGCCCAGTACAGGCACCATCGCCAGCTGGGCATTTACCCTCTTCTGTGAAATACTCATTTCAGATTCCTAAGTCTTGCTCATGACAGTGCACTAGTCAGAGTTCCCTCCTTCTTCCCTACCCTAGGTATCCACACCCTGGCCCCCCGGGTCACAGCCCTGTTTACTAACTGCTGTTGCAAAACTGCTCTACCCTTCTCTCTTCCCATCCTTCTCTCAGCCTCTCTAGCACAAATGATCATGTCTGTACGTCTTGTCACCTCAAATAAGGTTATGTTCTTTGCGCACAAACACTGATCTTTTAGCTTCCTCTGTTTGCCATATAATTGCTAATAATGGTAGGCACACAGAGGAGGTGTTCAATAAATATTTGCTGGCATGAAGTGAATATAAATAACCATGTAAGAATGTAAAAAAGAACGTGCAGAGCCCTGGCAAGTTGGGCTCAGCGGTTAGAGCGTTGGCCTGCGGTCCACAGAGACCCGGGTTTGGTTCCCGCTAAGGGCATGTACTTTGGCTGCAGTTTGTCCCTGGCCCTGGTCAGGTTGTGCAGGTGGCGGCCACTCGATGTGTCCCTTTCACGTCGATGTTTCTCTCTCTCTCTTCCTCTCTCTCCCTCCCACTCTATCTGAACAAAATATCGAAAAATGTCCTCGGGTGAGGATAAAAAATAAATAAAAATAAGAAAGAATGTGCAGAGTCTCTGTTTTATATTGTAAGATTTCCAATGACATTTCATGGTCTATCCATGTCTAATTGTATGGTTACTTAGTCAATGTGTCATTTTAATTATAGTAATAACTTCTGTATTCTCATTTCTGCTACATTTTAGGCTTTCAGTGTTTATTTCATTTTTAAAACTAGATCAACTGTAACAAGTGACAAGTCTCAGAGCTTTAGATTGACTTGCTTCCCAGTTACCATCTCACCTGTAAAATCCAATTAGTGGTTCTGCGATTGATGAGGGAAATGGAAACTCCTTTCTTTGTTTATGTTTTTATAATCTTTCCTTTTTGTGTTTTTCCTGATCCTCAATGATGAATTTGTCATTGTCTTATCTTTTCTTGTTTTAATCCTAAAGGCCCTCACTGTCAATGCTATTTCATTTGTCTAGAGCTGAGCTTACCAAGACTGTGACCCTATTGACCCAACTGTGGCACACAGCATTAAATTACCTCCTGTCTGATTCACTGTGCTATTGACAACTGTCAGTGGCCTGATACATTGGCTTTAAGATCATCTGGCCCCAGTCATTTTTCACTATAAATTAAGTAGCTGGGATGACAGATGATCCTTTCAGCAGTATGTTCGACCACAGAGGAAGGAGAGAGAATAGAGTAACCACAAAGAAAAGCATAGTCCCCCAGGAGGAAAGCAGCATCAGTCCTGACAGGGGAGTGGGTAAGTAGGCTGGGTCACGATGGTTACTCTGGCAACTACCTGCACAGTGCTTGCCCATTCCTGCAGACCACAGCTAAGTTCTACACATTGAGCCCACAGCTTTATTCCCTGCAATTCAGCACTGGAGACAAATGAAGATGTCTGTGTTCTTCACCCCTCATACACCATCCTATCCCTAGTAAAAAAAAAAAAAAAAAAAAAAGCTAGATTTGGAGATTTAAAAACTGGCTTGAAGTTTCAGCGCTACCTTGGGCAAAATCACTGAAACTCAGTTTTCCTCATTGCAAAATGGAGACAAGAGTGTTTATTCTGTTTTCTTCAAAAGGTGGAAGAGAAACCAAAAATAGTGATACTAGACATGCAAATGGCTTGAAGAAAGTTTTGAGTATCATACAGCTTAAGGCATATTGATGTGGTTCTGACACGCATTCCCCTCAAACTACAGACATGTGAACAATTTTAAGCATCCATAGCATCCTTTTTTTCCACCTAGCTATTTCCATGGAACCTCCCCCTTCAGCTTCTCATGTAGACAAAATGGCCAGTGCATCACCTGATGTTTGCAGAATCCTGCCCTAATCAGTCTTAATCAACAAGCTCTTGTCCATCCATCATAGTTATTTTCATTGACCCAATCTGACACTTCTTCCTGTTCTTTGTGCTTCACAAACCTCATTTGCTTGACAAGATCTCTAAGTACTACCTGCATTTAAGGAGAAGGTAATCAAATCCTCAGGTAGATATTTCAAAGAATAAACATAATATCTAACATTTCAACCTGAAATTTGACTCAGACACTTTTCTTCTAATTACCAAGTAAACACAATAGAAAAAAAAAACAGGATTGACCACATATCTTAATTAAGTGATGAATTTTCATTTTACAGAGATTAAACACAAGTTCCCTTGAACAGCCAGCTTCCCTATTGTAAGAATAAACAAATTTCAATGAACAAAAATACAATTCCATACACAGCTTTTTAAGCAAAAATCTGCTGAATAAACTGTGAAGTACACTTCAGTTGAAGAGTGGAAACAGGTATACCCATCTTCCTCCTTTGGATGCTACACTTAAATTCAGCACCAAACCACATCCGTAATACCAAATTATGATATTGAAAAGTTTAGCATGAAACACCAGACTATAATGGTAAGAAGCTTCCTATGAAAACAAAGACAAATCCACATTTCCCTAATTAGCTCTGTTGCTGTAGCTACATTAGACTCCCTCGGTCTTGGGAGTTTTTGAATAAATGCAATCAATATCAAGTTTGCTGCATAAGTGTTTGGTTCATTCTTATGACAAATATAACAACTCTGCCTTATTCATAAAAATAAGTCTACCCTAAAATCTCTACTGTGTGTAAAAGGAAGTAGCAATGTTCTGGTCCTGTGAAACCTCACCCGGGTTTTGAGTTGCCCGCAAGCCGGTCTGCTGCTCTGTAGGCTCTTGGCTTCAATGAGACTCCTTGGAGCACAACAGCATCACTTGTGACCAGGGAAATATACAAAAAGGAGGGGGAGGCGCGCAATTTCTGGTCCCACGTTTTTCCCCCTGTAGAAGAAATCCTTCAGAGCTCTAAGGATGGTTTTGTGAACCACTCCCTCCTCCCACCCCTTAAGTTTCAAACTAAGATTTCCAAAGAATGAAGGCAGACACTTCAAAACAGTCTCTCTCCTCTCCTCCACATCAGCTCTGGCCTAAAACGAGGTGTCAAGATCCTGGCAGACCTTTGGGATCAGCTTGGAAAGGCAGATTTCTCATCTTTAAGAACTCCAACTCTTAAGAGTCCTTGGCTGCTTCCTCACCAGCCAGGGTTCTACATGTTCTACATGTTCTACACAGGTCAGCTTCCGTCAGTGACCAGGACGCACATGAGACAGCTGGGCACCTCCAGGCAGCACCTCCCAACAACCATCTGGAGTCTCGGGCAGAGCCTGACCTCCGTGTCTAACCCGCAGGCCCTCTTTCCAATTAAGTGACCTTTCCAAGGATCATCCTCCTGCCCCTCGTAGGGGACCGGCCAGGGTCTGAGTAAGGAGGTTTAGTAACATCTCTTCGCTAGGCACTCAGCTGTTTGTTTTTTACAAAGTAACAGAACACATTTCGGTGGCCACCGCAGCCCTCATTCACTCCTCAGCTGCTGGGCACTGTTTGGCACTGGGGACATTGCGATCCATGCTTTGAAGGAGTAAAACCCAGCCTTCGGGAACTTCTCTTTGACTGCTGTGAGATTAGGGGAGAGAGAGAAGAAAGAAAAGCCCACACAAAAGCAGCTAGCCCTGCAAGCTCCGCCAGCACAAAGGCCCATTCGCTGGTGCGGAGCCGAGAGGTTGGGCTGGAGCGAGGAGTGCGGCGAGTCCTCCTCCGAGGCCTGCGCACCGCGCCCAGCGCTCCCGGAGCTGCCCCCGTTCACCCCGCGCCGGGCGCCGCGTTCCGACTGGCTCGCAGGGCGCACGCCTGGCGCGCCCCTGACTGCCGCGCTCCCCGGGCTGCACAGCTCGCGGCGCGACCCCGTGCTGCCCGGGGCTCTGGCTCTGTGTCTGCCCCAGCCCGGGGTCTGCAGCCACGGCCGCCCGAGTGGCAGGAGCCGGGCCCGTCCTCACCTGTGCGCCTTCAGCTGAGCAGCGCGCGGAGAGCAGCGGTGCCTGCGCTCGGCATCCCCGCGGTGGCCCCTGCAGCGGCGGACGCCCGCTCCATGGTCTGGGATGCCAGGGGGAGGGCGCTACGCTTTGTTGCTTATTCATGAGACCGCGGTTACGGCTGAGGATTGGACCGATGGTGTACCCGCCCCGGCTCCGCTGCCACTGACACCCGATGCGGTCGCCCCCCGCCCCTCCCTCCCCATCCACTTCCCCGCCTCTGCTCTTGCCCCGGGCGGGTCCTGCTCAGAGCCAGGCGTCTGAGACCCTTCCCGAAATCCCTGCCCTACTGCCCTTCTTTGAAGCCTGCGCTTCTGCGACAGCTGTCCCTCAGTGATTACCAAGATGAAACCGAGCTCCGTTTTCGCTAGAAGAGCCCGAATTTCTCTGGTCCTCGGATAGGGCAAGGAGCGCAAGTAGGAGGCTGCAGGATGTTCCTTGTGGAAACTACGGTGTAGCAGTGCCCCTAAGTAGGACCCTGTAAAATAGCCCTACTCAAAGTGTTCTCTTCTCAATCAGAGAAGTTGAAAATAAGTGCTAATAAGTAGAGTTTATTGAGCCCTTTACTCCTGCCAGGCACAATGCTAGGTGCTTCCTTCACTCCTCACCTGCTTAATCTACCCAATATCCCGGAAAGACAGATTTTGGCAGGCGAGAATTCTACCACTGAACCACCCATGCACCCAAGATAGATTTTGGTAATCCCCACTTATCAGGGGAGAAAGTCAAGGCTGAGGGCTGTGTAATTTGCTCGAGGTCTAAGGTTAATGTGACCACGGGTTATTCATGACCTTCATTCAAGGACTGTTATCTTTTTCTATTACTAATTGTAGGTAAAAAGAAGTGTCAGGAACCTGGAGGCCCATTCTAGAACAACCCCCACAGCACTTCATATTTGCAACGCACTTTCCATATATATTATCTCTTGTACTTAGTAACGCCTTTCCTTTAAATAGCTGTCTTAGTCCTGTTTTGCAGTTATTTGTAAACACCTCGAAGTGAGAGCAAGGGCTCTTTCACCTTTGACCCCTACATCTAACCAATGCAAAATTGTGCACTGTTATCTTACCTATCCCACCCCTCTTTAGAAGATGATATCTTTGTATTTCTAGGAAGGTAGTCAACAAATAGTTGCTGAATGGAATGTGATTGACTTGAATTAAATCTATAATGTATACTCAATGTAATAAAATGTCATATATTGTACTGTGATCAGGCCTCCTACCTGGATTCAATCTCCAACGGGTGCATAAGTCACACCTGGCCTTACCAAGTTGTGTTTCAACATTTTATTTGTAATTTTATTTTATTTTACTTTATTTGTAAGTCAGTTGTTTGAAACTCAGACCACATCTCATAAAGCCCATGTTATATAGTACGATGAGATTCCCAGCTAGACCATAAAATTGGATCTACTTGACCCAAATGCTGGCAAATAATAGTGCTAATAAAAAACAACCTAATCAATGAGGCTGAATTAGAGGACCAAACAGAATAGAAGACAGAGGAGGAATGAATTCTGGCTCCCAGCTCATCTAGGGCCAGACCTACCCACAAATGAAATAGTCAAAGTTTCTTTGACATCCCTCTCTAACATCCTGGTGTTGTCCTTCTTAGAGACCCATGGTACTGAGTCCCCACTACGGAATTCCACTGCCCACACCTGCCTCACACAAAAAGTTTTTTGTTCTAAAAAATTACCCTTCTCCCATAATAGAATTCCTATTTCCCTTTTCACCAATACACATTATTTCAGCTATGCAGTAAAAGTAAAGTCATCTTATCGGAACTCCTTTTACTAGTATTTATCCTTCCCAAAATGGCTTGTATTGCTTTAACCAATTCTGATGAATGCAGTTTATCTCAACAGCTAATGCTGGTACATGCAGTCACAGTAAGATCCACTCTTCCACCCAGCACTGCACAAACTGTAAATCAGGGAAAGTGTACTACTAGAAGTCAAATCAGTAAATCCTCATGTGATGAACACTCTTCTCCTTTTATAGGTAAAGCATGAAACTATATGTGTGCATCAAAGGGTTTGGGAACACTCAAAACTACAACCAGGGTAAGGAAGCAAGGAAGCTCCAGAAGGCAGTTTTGAGGTTGCCAGATTTAGTAAATAAAAATAGAGGATCTCACCCTGGCTGGTTTGGCTCAGCGGTTAGAGCATCGGCCTGCGGTCCGGAGAGACCCGGGTTCAGTTCCCGCTAAGGGCACGTACTTCGGTTGCAGTTTGTCCCTGGCCCTGGTTGGTCATGCGGTGGCAGCCACTCGATGTGTCCCTTTCACATCGATGTTTCTCTCTCTCTGTCTCTTCCTCTCTCTCCCTCCCACTCTATCTGTACAAAAAATGGAAAAATGTCCTCGGGTGAGGATAAAAAAAAAAATTAAAAAAAAAAATAGAGGATCTCGATTCAGTTTTTGGGACATAATTATGCTAAAAATCATTGCTTGCTTTTCTGAAATTCAAATTTAACTGGGCATTCTGTATTTTATCTGGTCACCTTTACAGTATTAGGTGATTGCTTGGTCCTGGTTGGTAAAAACATTTGCATCAGAAAGGAATTGGTCACATGTAGCAAAGAACAGGACAATCAATCCCAAGTGCCAGGAGTGGACAAGGTCTATTCAAATGCCATCTAGAGCAGAGAGTATTGGAGATGCAGACTTGACCATTAAGGTGTCCTTGGTAAGGCTATCACTAAATTGGGTAGAAATACTTCACAGCTTATCAACTAATTCTCTTTATTCTGATTCCCAGGTACTAAGTAACTGTCTGACACCTTGATTTCCCATGAGTAATGCCCATAGGCACTGCTGAAATGAGATGGGTGCTCTGAATTGTGTCTGTAACAGACCTACTTCTGATGCCCACCAACATTGGGTTTCTGGTCTTGCAAAAGTGAGATCAAGACCTTGAGTGGGGCTGACGTTACCAAGGTAAGTGCCACTTAAGGGCTCACAGAAGAGCTCTTGGACACCAGCTGGCAGGACTTCCCCCAACTTGCACCATGGTTCCTGGGGGTGTCTTTTGTTTTAGTTTGTTTTGTACATGAGTGACAAGCACGTGAGGCAACAGAACAAAAGTGAAATAAAAGATGCATGAGGAAAAACCTTGGAAGGCTGAGTTTACCTGGGATCGCCTCTTTCCTGCTGTCCAGTGATGTTCCCTCCCTTTACTTTTGAGCCCCTTGAAATTCCTTCCTTGGATTGTGTTGTTTATATAAGTTCCCAGGGCACCCAACAAAGAAGTCCAGGCATGAATGGAGGACAGGAGTGGCTGTGTAGAGTAGGGGTCATCTACAAAGTGGATATTCCTCACTGCAAAAAGATGGTCTTTCCTTTCCGGCCTTCCTAACACTTTATGAACACATGAGCTTTTCAGCATCTCCCAGTGTTCTCTGCCCAACTGCTCCCTGACTCTCCATCTCTGTTGAAGACTTCCTTTTAATTTTTAAGTTAAAATTCCCAGGAGCCAACTTCAGTGTAAAATAGTATTGCTGAGTATACTCTCTACTCACTCTGGGCATTCAATAAATATTTGATGGTTATGGTGATGATGATGTAAATAATAGTAATATTGTTAGAATCTATTTCATTAATTCTGATAGATGTTCTCATTGCATCTAAAATCCTCAAAACATTTGACATGATGTACTTCAGTGCTACTGAGCTTAGATTTTTACCTCATACTAAATTGTCTTTAGTATGCAGTTTATTGGGAAGATAAGTAAACAGAAGGAATCCAATAACAAACAGTTTTCCTGTCCAGCCAGTGTGGCTCAGTGGTTCAGTGTCAGCCCATGCACCAAGAGGTCACTGGTTTGATTCCTGGTCAGGGCACATGCCCAGGTTGTAGGCCTGATCCCCAGTGGGGGGCACGCAGTAGGCGGCCAGTCAATGTTCTCTTTCATCACTGTTTCTATCTCTCTCTCCCTCTCCCTTCCTCTCTCTCTAAAAAAATCAATAAAGAAAAAAGAAAAAAGTTACCTTAAACAAACATTTAGAACAGCAAGGTTTTATACACTCTAGTTGTTTTCAACTAACATGAGTCCATTATATTTATCTATAATATTCAACTCTTATTATGCAAACCCAGAAAAATTCTCTTGCTTCTCTGTTCTCCTCTAGAAAGCCATTATTGTAGAAGCAGAATATTATATGCTTTACATTCCCTTCTTTTTAAAATTTGCTATTTTCTATATTCCTTTATTAAGTGTTAGGTTTCTTTAGGCCCTGAACTTGTTTATTCAGTTCTAACAAATGTTTTTGTGCCTGTTGCCTTGAAAAAGCAAGATAAGAGAGGAAAGAGCTACTAATGCAGGTACACAAACAAAATTTTTAAATAGTGCATCCATTTAAAAAGAAATTTCTTAGATAAAGCCAAGGGTGAAAACATTTACAGAAAAGCAATCTTGTCTTTCCCTCCCACCACCCCCCCTTTTTTTTGCAGCCATGAATAATGTCCTTGTGAAACTGTCTGTAAAAATTCTTTTATTTATTTTTTATAGGTCTCAGATGTATTTATTTATTTTTAATCCTCACCTGAGGATATATATTTTTTTTTCTATTTATCTTCAGATAGAGTGGGAGAGAGAGGGAGAGAGAAAGAAACATCAGCGTTGAGAGGGACACATCGACTGGTTGCCTCCTGCACGACCCTGACTAAGGCCAGGGTGGAACTATAACCAAGGAACATGCCCTTGGCTGGAATCGATCCCATGACTCATTGGTCCGCGGGCCGATGCTCTACTGCTGAGCCAAACCGGCCAGGGTTGTAAAAATTCTTTTAAAGAGATTTGAACAGTAAAGATTTCATGTCTCTGGGGAATATACCCTTTAATCTTAACTATGTTGGTCATCATGAATAACTATATTCAAAATGGCATCTATAACTCTAGAAAAGATATGAATTGCCTTTTACTATGTTAGACAAGTGTCTCATCTCCATTCTTGTCTCTTTTTCTATTTGCCTACTGGTAAATAAATCGATGACTTTAATAGATTCCTTATCTTAAATAGTGGGAGTGAGATATTGAGTAT